CCGAATCAGACAAAACAACACTTGTCCGCCTCCCAATATGAACAATTATCACGACACCGAAAGCCTCGAATACTCCTCCGACACCTCTGATGATGGCCGCTTCTCTCCCCACCCTACGGGTCGCATTAAGCGCTACACAAGACCCTTGATCGATTACGTGCGCAACGAATGGCAAACTAACGCCAAATACTCCCATCTCGCCAACCCCGACCAGCCCTCTGAACCCTCCCGATTCGTCCAACTCTTCCTGTCTATTGTCACTGCGCCGCGCTTTCGTCGCTATGTCGTGGTGTACTTGATCCTGGTCATAACGTGTCTGCTGGGATGGCTGTATATCCTCTCTCCGCGGCTAGCGGAGCATGCGTCGTTGTTGCGGGCGCTAGATCCAGAGGTGAAGGAGGAAGTGGGTGGATGGTTTGGAACGAACGCTTTTCCCGGGTTTGATGATGTTGTGCAGGTGAAAAAGTTGGATAAGGAGCTTTTGCCTGAGGGGGAGGAACGGCTGATTGTTGTGGGTGATGTGCAGGGATGCATGGCAGAGTGTATGCCCCCTTTTCATTCCCCTTGATGCAGTTCATGGTATTTGAATTCATGCATAGATCACTGACATACAAACTTGTCGATAGTGGACCGCCTCCTCGAAGAACTCCTGTTCGATCCGACCAACGATCACCTCATCTTTACAGGAAACATGATTAGCCAGGGCCCCAACAGCACTGACGTTGTCGATTTCGCCCGAAAGTATTCCGCGTCATGTGTGCGCGGAAACAACGAAGACCGCGTCCTTGTTATGCGCCACAATATGATTGAAGCTCAGACGTTAACTGATACCTCTTCCGATCAATACCTCGATGGTCAGTCTACAGAGCAGGCCAAGAATGAACGTGATCTCGCGCGTGTCCTGTCAGACGAACAAGCAGACTGGCTAGACGCCTGCCCAGTTATTCTTAACGTGGGACAGATTCCTACCATGGGACAGGTTGCGGTCGTGCATGGGGGACTGATTCCGGGTGTGGATCTCAATCATCAGGATCCGTATAGCGTGATGAACATGTTGACCATCGATTTGGACACCCATATGCCTAGCCCAGAGCGGGATGGTATGATGTGGACTAAGGTTAGTTCCCCTTATAGTTTTTCCGTACTATGTTGCCTTTGAGGCAATGATACTAATAACAGTATAGTTCTTCAACAAGCACCAATCCGTCGGCTATGCAAGCTCTAAAAGCTCGAACAAAGACGACAACGAAGATGCAGGTGCCGTCAAAGCCACCACCGTCATCTACGGCCACGACTCCGAAACAGCCCTCAACATCAACACCTATACAAAAGGTATTGACACCGGCTGTATCGCCGGCGGAAAACTCACCGCTTTCGTGATTAGCTCTTCTGGAGAGCAGAATATCATCCAGGTCAGGTGTAACAACTACCTACCCTGATTGAGCGACATTTGTTGTGTTCCGTCTTGTCATGTATAGAATTTCGTCGCTGCATACTACTTTGCATAGTTTGCATCTTTCTCTCTTTATCTCTCTGCTGGCTTGAAGGGACTAGGATTGATTGATTGATTGGATTGGATTGGATTGGATCCGGTAGGGGTGGTGTATTTATTCATGGTTCATCTTCTGTTCGCTTATTTCTGCATGTGGAGCATCGGGGTTGGAGTTACGGCTTGTTTATTGCATGGGCCGGTTGCCGAGAATATGATGGTGCGCTTGTCTATATAGGTAAATCTGTCTCTACGCGAGGTATAGTATACTACTTCCTTATATTCAATTCAATTAAAATTGTATCCTTATACCTGCTCGAGCCGGTCTTTTTGTTGACCTGGCCCGGCCCCGCATTCCGCCGCCCTTCGATTGCACAATGTGGGTTTGTTCTGATATGATGGATAGAGCAAAGTAGTGGCATCTGTTGTCTCGTCTGCTCCGAATAGCAAGCGATAATCCTCTTGGACTAAAGCGGTGCTCGGAACCAATTCATCATAGAAAAGGCGAGGCACCAAACTGATGCTGGAGGGGCTTGCTTTACCTACTAGTGTACATGATACTGCTACGTACAGTAAGGGTGAATGAGAACCTGTGGGGCGGGAAGCAGTTCGGGGAAATGAGCTACTTATCTACTTACTACGTACGTAGTTTTCCTACCACTTAGCTATAAACTGTCTAGGTTGACTCCTGGCTCCGTGCTAACCCTAGCCCAGCTGAACTTCCCATTGACCTTCCTGCGTCAGCCTTTGAACTTAGTCTCCCTCTCGAAACTTCCAAGGATTGAAACCGGCTTATGAGATTGCGAAATTGCGACCCGATATGTCTCCCCCAGTCATTTCACACCTCTTGAGGCCGTCGGACTCCACATGAGTGAACCTAAAGCAGGCGAGTGGGACCCAAAAGAGGCTGTCCTCTCATGACTCCAAGATACTGTCCTGGAAGGCTCAAGCCGGCTCGGTCTGGGCCGAAGGTCCCACTCCTCTAGTTCTCACCATCCAGGGGAGCCTTTTGAGTTCGCCGAAGTTTACATCCATTCATCATCCCAGCTGGGCAGGATTAGTGAAAGGTATCGCTGCTGCACCTGCCTCATGGTTGGTTCCTTCACCACCATGGCCCTCTTTTATGTTATTAGCTCGCGGACGATTCCTGGTTCCCCTTCACCCACCCCCTCTAAAGATTCCAAATTCTTTTCTCTTCCTTTTCTTTCAGTATCTATCGATCCTGTCTGAGGCTCCTCCTCTCCCCCTCTAACCCGTTCTTATCTTCATTTCTTGGTAGATTGCCTTCTTCAAACGCAATGGCTGCTCAAAAGGCCGTTTTCACCGTCTCGGCTCAGGCCACTCAGCTAGGCAATCGCATTTCGGTGCATATGCTCGACTATCTCAGCACTGAGCACGACCTACCGGACGGCTTTCGTGAACTATCACAGACTTTCCTGGATACCTGTCGCGCTTTATGGGCCATTGATGCTGGTCTCACCGAATCCACTGCTGCCGGTCGCGCTCTCCCCGATGTGATCGTGGAGGAGGTGGCGAAGAAATTCATGGCCGCTTATCGCGATTTCCAGAGTCTGGACAAGGTCGTGACCAAACTCATTCAGTATGAACATCGTGGCGCCCTGGGCAGGCTTCAACGCGGATGGAATCGCCCAAGCCTCGAATTGCACCGCATTCGCGAGTCATTGAAAAAGACTACCGAAACACTTCAAATCAGCGTCCTCGCCTTTCACTGGTCTCTTGGCGAACAGCCATTCATGGAGGAATCAGTGGGCATTGGCTACGCCGGGCTGGCTGCCGCACTGGACCGTATGGCCAAAGGTCGGTCGGTAATGGGCATCAACAAGGCTAAATCTCTAGAAAGGGTATCAAAGGAGGTGGCCACTTCGTTGTCATCCGCGTCAGTCCCCACTGTGCCCCCCAAAGAGTCCCCAGTACAACTCTCGGTTGCGATAGAAAACCCCCAGTCCAATGCCGATGACATACTCTCCTCCGTGCTTTCGCTTGACTCCCTCCTCATTGCAAATGACAATGGCCAGGACCATCTTTCATTGCCCCCAGTTAATTCCCGTCCTCAGCCTCTGCGACTGAATGGGAATCCTGTGCGGACGAGCTCGCGCGAGCCACAAGCGGAGATTATCACGCCTCTCGACGATAATATATCTGGGGATACCCTCACATATCACCGGCTATACGAGCCATCAGCTGGCCCGCTCCATCGCACCCCTAGCCGAAACAGTGGAGCTAGTGCGACGCGACTGCGCGGTGCGTTAGCCTCCGCCGTCCGGGGACGGAACCACAAGTTGCTAGAGCAGTTATTGGACAGTGGAGTGTCGCCCAATCTTGGGGAGCATATTCATCCGCTCAACGAGGCCGTGCACCAGCACGATTTTCAGGGCATGCGCCTGCTTCTGCAGTTTGGTGCAAACCCAAACGAACCCGACCGGCAGGGAAAGACGCCCTTGCTTGTCGCAGTAGATGAGTCGTTTGTCGACGGGGCGAACTTGCTACTGAAGTATCGCGCTGATCCCAACTATGCATCGGAGCCGGGACAGGACTCTCCATTGAGTCGTGCACTGGCGAAGGGAAAGCTCAATATGGTGCAGCAGCTGCTTGCGCATGGGGGGAATGCAAATGCTGAAACGCCAAGCGGTAGCACAGTGCTAGTCGAGCTTATCAAACAACAGGCGCCACCGAAGCTAATCACTCTCTTACTAGACGCCGGCAGCGACCCAAACAAGAAGGGCTGCCAAGGGAGAACGGCACTCAACGAGGCGGTGCAGACCGGGCAGATTGCCGTTGTAACGACACTGCTCGAACACGGCGCCAATCCGAATCTCCCTGGACCGGAGCATGTCCTATGGCTAGCTATCTCCCGGCCAGCATGTTTGCGTCTTCTGTTAGATAGCGGGGCCGACATCAGAAAGACCCCAGGTCTCATGGAACAGGCGACCAGCATGAACAATATCGAAGCCGTTCGCACCCTGCTGGAGGTTGGACTCGATCCAAATGCCAAAAAGGACGGTACCTACACGCCCCTCTGCTCTGCCATTCGCGACAATAGGGCCGACATCTTGAAACTGCTGCTGGAGCACGGTGCGGACCCAAACGTCATGGCATCCGAATATCCCGCTTGGAAATGTGTCACCCACAACCGACTCCATTTCCTACCTGTCTTGATTGCGGCTGGTGCTGATCTTTTTCAACCACCTGGAATCGTAGAGCTGGCCGTGCAAGTCAACAACACTGCGGCCCTGGAGTGGCTGGTTGAGCAGGGAGGTGCGAATGTGAATGACGGCAACGCACAAGGTCATACTGCACTGACAACGGCCATCCGTGAAAACAGGTCGGAAATGCTAAGCTACCTGCTCGCACATGGCGCCAACCCCGCTCAACGTGGGCAGGATTGGCCTGTATGCATGGCCGTGCGGTCTCCGGCTCTACTTCAAAAACTGCTCCCACTGGTCCCTGATCTCTCTGCTCACAAGGGCGTCATGGAGATGGCCGTGCTTGCCAACCAGCTTGAGAGCATCAAATTGCTGCTCGCTGCTGGTACCAATGTCGAGTATAAAAACGGTGGCGTCTTCTCCCCACTCACTACGGCCTTGCGAGAGAGACATGACGATATTGTGAGATTCCTGCTGGAGGAAGGAAATGCCGATCCAAACGCCCCCGGCGAGCATCTTCCTCTCGTGAAAGCGATCCGCCGGACTCTCAATGGTGACTATTCCATGATTGAGCTTCTGCTTGAGAAGGGTGCCGACCCCAATAAAACTTACCGGCACTGGAATGCTATCATGCAGGCGATCGAGTATCGGGATCTGCCATTGTTGCATCTGCTAGTTAAGAAGGGAGGCGGAGCTGATCTCACGCAGCATGATGAGACAGGACAGACTGTTTTGGAAATGGTGGATTCAGGGTGGCCCGAGGCCATGCAGTTCCTTCTTGACAATGCGCGCCCCTAATTTGTAGTCTTTTATGACGCGTGAGAGTTTCAGAATCCTGATATAGGCCAAACTCATATCATAATACGTAATAATGCTAATAATTTGACATGACGATACATTCCAATCAATAAGCTCACTTGTTCCTGGTCTAGGTCGGGATCAGCAATAGTTCCGCCAAATGAAAAAATGTAAAAATAAAGAAAGAAAATAGAAATAAAAAAATAAGAAAATAAGAAAAATTAAAAACTCAAAAATTAAATAGATAAATATGAAAATAAAGGAAACCGGTAGCCGCAAGAAGACACGCTAAGTCAAGGTTACAGAAAGATAAGGAAGCAATGAAAGCAGTAGCAAAGAGACACAAAAGTACACATTTTAGGGAGACACTTCAACTTAATTCAATTCATATTCGTATACCAGATATTATATGCTTAGAAACCCGGAACTTTTTTTCACAGGTGCAATACTAGTTACTCTCCCACATCGTATTGACCAGAGAAAGTGGGGCCAGGCTAATCCTTTGTATATTAGTATACTTGAACATATATATCATTGTAGATATACTATACGCTTTTGGCAGACCCCTGTGCTACGTGAAAGTCCTCTAAATAAGACCTTGAATAAGCGCATAGTAGTAACTTAGTTTTGCATTTTACTGTGGTTTCTACTATTCAATATAGCCATTCTAGAACTTCCTGCAAATGGTTCTCTTAGTAGCAAATGCGAGCCGGCTAATCTATTATCCCGATTCAGTCTTACATTCCGCCGCCTGCTTTGCCTCATAGTCTGCGGCTTCGTTCCCTTGATTCCCACGTGAGCAGGGATCCAGTGTATTGTGAGGTCTGTACCTTGCATGGCTCAGAATCTGTCAGTCTAATTATTATAATACTGTCAGAGCACAGAATCGCATGCAAGTTTAGTGAGACATCATAGATCCATTCGATTTGTAGATACGGTAAAAAGGTGATGAGAAGGGAGGGATTAGTATACTAATATATCAAATATGTTATGATTTCTGAATCATTCTATCGGCTGTTGCGGAAATATATCAAGGTACTGTGTTGTTGCAGATTGTTCTGGACATGTGGGTTATGATTCATCTATCTGCTCTTTATGAACGTGTATATCCTCAATTGTGGTCTGAAATAAAGTGTATCGCTGGTATATAGGTATCTATCTATCTTACATCTTGGCCTTCTCGCTCTGGGCAGCCAAGTCTGGCATCAGCATGTCTCTCATATCAGATGCCGCCTCGTTCAAATAGTAACTCATGCGCTCTGCGCCAAGGCGCTTGCACACAATGTTGAAGTTCAGGCTAAACCACTGGTCAGCAACGATCAATAATTATGGGTAGGGGAGCTTACCTGTTCTCGTTAATCATATAAGCGATGCCGAATCCGTCGTCAATCACTTGACTCCATCCGTAGCCGTTAAAGAACTCCGAGCTCAGCTGGCTGGTTGATAGGTACCACGAGCTACTGTACGCAAATGCGGGGTCTTCATAGAGAGCAGGCAGCTTCTCACCCTCACGCAGCAGCTTCTTCAGACCGAACAGGTGGCGGTCCACACCACGGCCATCGCTGGCTTCCGCCGTGTACTTCGAGTGAGCGGCCAGCGCCGAGCGGAGTAGACGGACAGCCTCCTCGCGGGGGACGGCAGGGTCGCTGATGGCCTTGCAGAAAGCAACGCTCTCATCCGAAACCGTGCGGATGGTCTCTGTGCGGCCCTCCTGGAACTTGCGGGTCGAGGCAGATTCGTAAGTCGGGCGGTTCTTGCCGTACATCTTGAAATAAGCGAGCTGGATGATCATCTGCACGTACGCATCCGGACTGCACTTGAACTTCTTAATAAGACCCTTGCCGTAGCCCTGGTAGGCCTGGACCCGGAGCTCATGCGACGAGATCTGCTGGCGGTGCTCCTTGTTGGCAGCATCAATGGCCTCCAGTACCGGGCCGTCCAGGTGGAAGGTGATGGGACGAGGGTCGGGCAGGTCGGACCGCACCGGCTGCTCGGAGAGGTCGATCTTGTGGTTGAAGATGAGGTTGTTCAAGTGGTCGTTCAGGCGGTGGGTGGGGCTGCCGTCCATCATGCTGTGCTCGCCCATGAACCCAGCGGTGCCATTGTCATTGATGATGAACTGCAGCGGCTTGTCGAACCAGCGGTTGGTACCATCACCGTGCCAGTATTGATGAGCACGCTCCTCTAGCGTGACGGGAGTGGCATTGTCCAGACAGACAAGGAACCCGCTCGACTCGATGTCACGCAATGCCTGCTCATTGGCCGGGTGCGCAGCCAGCAGCTTCTTCCGTGCGTCGGCCCACAGGTCACGGTTAGCGACGGTCAAGACGCCGACCGCCGGAGCGGGCTGGGCAACCTCGTAGATGCGCTCAAACTGGCGCCGCAGCTCAGAGTTGTTCAGGCGCTTGCCGTTGACGGTCAAAGGCACCTTGAAAAATTGGTTCTTGCGCACGACCACAATGTGCTCGTTGTCCTGAGCCGGGAATTTCTGGGGGTAATCGACACTGTCACCAGGGATACGGCAGCAGTTGAACATGTACTGGTAGGTGCTCATAGCCATGGGCTGACCGCGCATGTATTCAGGCTCCAAGGAGCCATCGTCGACCTGGCGCTTGAATTCCAGAGCGGCAGTAGCAACCGAGGCGGCGCGCTTGGCGGGGTCCCGCCGGGCGCGATCGTCGCGGTAGGAGTAGAAGTACGAAACATAGGGGATGACAGGGTCCCGGTAGCCCAGGTATGCGGCGTGATTCCACCATTCAAGAAGCCAGTTCTTGACCTTGGGGTCGGCGGCGCGGGCGAGCAACCTTTCCTGCAGGGGCTCACCCTCACCACCCGGGCGAACGAAGGCGTCAACGGCCTTCTTGGTGCGCTCATATTCGGCCTCGGAGACCAGCGCGTGGACGGACTTGAGGTAGCGACGGCCCGTTTCTTCCAGAGAGGGTACCGGCAGGCGGGGGAGGGAGTCTTCGAATCTGAGCATATTGCCTTTGGAGAGATCTTCTTTGTAGCCTATCCATCCACAACGTGTCAATAGCGGATCTCGAATCGGATTCGCATGTGATTGCTTACCCTCAGGGACCGAAGATGCTTTGCGACGGGGTGCCATTATGGGTGTCTAAGCGGTAGAAATCACAATTAGCCGATATTATTCTGGTGGTATGGGAATAGACTTACGACGGCAGATCTGGCGAGGAGCGAGTTGGCGGGGGAGAGACGAGTCCGGGGGAGAGTGGAGAGACGGGTTCTGCTCGAAGCCGCGAACATGCCTCGCGGTTGTGAAGGGATGGGGGGAAGATGAGAAAGAGAAGAAGAGTTAAAGATGGCTGAGGAGAGGGAATAAAGCAGAGGAGAGGAGCGTGAGCTAAAAAAGTAGCAGGGAGAAAGGCCACATGAGATAAGAGAGCGAGTTGAAGATCAAGAGGAGGAAAGATACCTCGGCTGGATGGAAGCCAGGATCAGCCGACTGCTGGATGGTCACGTATTGTCATGGTTGAGGTGGATCTTTCCCGTTGGCTCCGCTGACTGGTGGGGATGCCGCGTATGTGACGGTAATATAGGTAATGTGGTCAACCGGATCGCCGAGGAACTTACTTTGGGCCGGTGGGGACGGAGTTGACCCAATTTCGAGCCATCACGATAATGCCTCTTAAGTCTTCAGAGTTGATGCTTTCGGTCTGGCACCGACCCCATGGGGTGCCGAACGGTTTCGATAATTCAATTAGAGCTGTACAGCTGCAAGCATTATTTGCTGCTACAACAGCATTCTCTAAGCTATATTGTCTCTCCCTTTAGCCCCGGATCCCGCAACAGCTCCGTTGCCGTCTTTCTATCTTCGGATCGCCACTGAATTACCCCTCCCATGAGATGTAAGAAGGCCTTTTTGTTGTTCTTTTCGAGGAATTTTTCCGACGATTCAAATTCTCCGGTATGCGAGATGGTGATGTCTTGCTTTCACTATCCTACAGGGTTTGTTCAGTCTGATGCCGATCGTTTTCGAGATACTAGGATAACATACCTTTCAGTAAAGAACTCGTTGCATTCGCTTTCCCCGTTACAATAGATCCAACGGCGGATGACCCCGAAGACCAATGACCCCAGCCAGATCCGCATGAGTCGAGTACCAAAGCATGGAGTGTTGTTCGTACCCAGCCGTATCCGGGATGGGATAGATTGGCTTGACTTATGTGCTGATGTATTTTGACTCTCTGGGTATGAGATTCATCGCAGGAATAGACCTGAGAGTCACATAGTGATGAAATCAGCATATCACTCAGCTACAGTCCGCAGGTTGGTTGTATGAAGCAGGAAGAACAGACTGGAGATGAGATCCTGGGCTAGCCAAGCAATAGATGAGGATCCAAATTCTATTCTCCCGATGACCTGACACTTAAGTGAGCGGAGATGTCAATGATGCTAATAGGGTAGTAGTGGCCATTCCTGTAGGAGTTGAAGTGCTCTTCCTCAAGGATTGTGGATGCCGGATTAGCTGTGAACCTGGTAGTTGGAAAGCATCGATGTGTTTGAGAGAGCTCTGCGAGAATAGAGTAGACAGATGCTCGGACCCACTTGAGCAGGGAAGCCATGAATGCACATGCAACATCGGCGGCAAGTGGTAGTCTAACAGCTACCTCAGGTTATTCGCCGTCACCCAAAGGGTGAATGGATGGATGTTTTGTTTTACAGTATCAGGATTACTAGCGGTAAGAGACACATTCAATCAGGGCGGTACAGGCTAGTAAGCTTATGAATTGCCCCGGACTCGCCGCCAGCCAGCCTCGGTCCGTTCGAGGAACAGCGGCAACAACCTACCGGGCAGTTTCGAAACCCAAGTTCTGTGAATGTTCCATGGCAGAGATCTAGTCGGAAGCTTAAGATTGTGTCAAAGGTTTATCTTCGGAGACACGTTATTATTTGACACCGCAGCTCAGCCGGGGCAATCGATGGTCCAGCCGCAAGGAGAGCGAAATGCGGGGGAGTTGCTGGACGTAGATAGGAGGTGAATCCCTCGGTCGGGGACACTCGGTCACCAGAACAGACCAGGCCGGACTACTGACCCTTCCTTCCATCGGCATCTCCACTTGAGACAACGGTCCCATGACTAGCAGGATTGTTTTCCGCCGTTGCGTCACTGGCACACATAAGTCCGGTGGATAACGCATAGTAGCCTATTTGTTTTGAAGGTGAATGCACCATGTGGTCTTGAAACACGAAAGTGTGGTCTTTTCTTTTTCCTAGGAAGTTATTGTTATGATATTATGTATGTAGTAGTTGTTGGTGATGCATGAAGTACTTTCACCGCTCTGCATACCGCATCCTAAATAGGATGCTCTACATGATGCCCGCCCGCTTGCACGGACCCAGGCCTCTGGTTATTGTTAAACATACTATCTTCTTTCATTGATCTTGAGATGGGGAATCAATCAGACTGTATACTCGCTCCACTGGCAATAAACATCAAACAATTACATTTGCCCGATATCCCACTGGAAATCGAAATGACTCGGTCCAGTCTCAGCACGGTGCTGTCAAGCACGTGACACGAGCGAGGTAATGCCGGCATCCACCGCTTTGGGGAAGAAACCAGTGCTCATTGCGGGAATACTAATCATACTGATAATTATCCCGGCCACTAGTGAGAGTTCTTGATTCAAAATGTCTATGTCCAAGACCGTCATCCGGTCGGGCCGTATAACCCAGCAATCGCTATTTCGATGCAGCATCTCCCGTCAAAGGGTGCAGCGATCACAAGAACGCCATTTCAGCCAATCTCGCGCTGTCGCCGCCCCAGTGACCGGAGCAAGTGAAGCTGAAGTGCAAGCAGCACTGAAATACTGCTCGAATCTTCTTCTGTAAAGTCTTTTCAATTACCCATCGTAACTCGCGACCCATCTAATACAGTCCATGTTCATGCCAGACAATATGACCGCCCCTCCTATACCCTCAGTACCTTCATTCCCCGAACGGCGCAAACTTTTTACATCGCTCTTCGAGCTCTTAATGTCTCTCTTTCCCTAATCCCTGATACCACCTCATCCCACACGATCGGGCTTATGCGCCTTCAATTCTGGCGCGATGCAATGGCCAAAACACTATCCGGGTCCCCCCCAAAAGAACCTATTGCCATTCTCCTCGCCTCGGCCATCTCAGACCTCACAGAACGAACGCAAGGTCGGGCGCGAATCAGCAAAGGCTGGCTGAATAGAATGATCAATGCCCGCGAGCAGACTCTTACCAACGACCCGTACCCTGATATCGCTGCCCTCGAATGCTATGCGGAAAGCACCTATTCGACCTTGCTCTACTTGACACTCTCAGCACTGCCCATGACATCCGTAACGGCGGACCATGTGGCATCGCATATTGGAAAGGCAGCCGGTATCACAGCTGTACTCCGTGGTTTGCCACTGGTGGCATTCCCGGGCGCATCGACTCAGCGTCCTGACCAGGCTGGTACGACAATGGCCGGAGGAGCAAAGCAGGGAGCCGTAATGCTGCCATTGGATGTAATGGCGCAGGCTGGGGTAAAAGAAGAAGAGGTGTTCCGCCTGGGCAGTGAGGCGCCAGGATTACGGGATGCTGTTTTCACGGTTGCCACTCGGGCCAGCGATCACCTGATTACCGTGCAGCAGATGTTGAGCAATATTCGTGCTGGGCAGGATGCAGGGCATGAGTTTGAGCACGGTCATGAAGAGGATCATCAGTATGATTTCCAATCCCAGAATGAGACCCCACTACAGGAGGTCAATCGTGCATTTGGTGTGTTTATGCCGGCCGTTGGAACGCGGCTGTGGCTGGATAGACTAGAGAGTCATGATTTCGACATCTTCCAGCCTGAACTTCTCCGGTCAGATTGGAAGCTCCCTTGGAAGGCTTATATGGCTTTTACGCGAAAGACCTTCTAATGATCCGTAATTTCGGATGTTTGAATGTTTGACTTGTGTATGATATGATAGATGTATAATAGTATGTGCACCAGGCTAGGATCTGGTCCGCGTTATATAGTATGGCAAGGATCTTGCCATGCTTCACCGTAACACAGAATTTATTCCACGAGGCTAAAGCCGAATTTGAACACTAACTTTTTTTTTTCTTGTCGACATGCGATTATAAGGCTCTCCACCCCATTCTATCAGCGCAGGTGGCTTCGCACTCAAAAATGGGAACCCATGGCCTTCACAGTGTAACGTCCAATCCATTGAGTGAGACATAAAGGGTAAGCGACTGCCCTGATGACTAAATCTTGCGCTGTCACTATTGTTGTCCCTTGCTTTTTATCACCAGTCGTGCCGGCTCCCCGTCTCTGAGATAGTATATAATTCCCCCACTCAAATGATTCTGGATCGGTCGTCGAGGCACATGAAGAAAGTCAATATCGGATTGCCACAACGTTTCTTAGCAGATGATGAAATTTTCATGAATAGAGACTCTGAGGTTCGTACTTTTCTCATTGCCCCACCAGCCGGATTGCACAGACATATGCCTGATGCTCTATTAGGAAATTGTGAACAGCTCCCTTGCGGTTCTAGGCCGCATGACGAGGAATGATGTCCAGCGTATCAGACCTTAGCCTGAGTGTCAGATACCAATGATACTCTATTCAAGATATGTACCTCGCTGAATTTGAAGGATTTTCTTAGCACCTGCCATTCATACACATTGATGAAAAATAACTTGGAATAGTAATAACTCAGTTTATGATGTCTTCCCAGTACTAAAACAAGTATACATCTTCCCAGTACTAAAACAAGTATACAGTTCAACTCAGTTTAATTCAATTCATATTCTTATACCAGATCGAGTCGGCGCAGGGAGATGCTAGCTATGCAGGTGCTTCACCGTTTGAAGCAAAAAATATGATCCCGAATGCCCTCAATGCCCTCAAACTCGCAGTAAACACACTTAAACAATGTAAACAACGCTTGACATGACGTAGGAATGTCGTCGCTGTAGCTAAGCACAGCTAAACAGTAAAAGGAATTGTAGATATGAAAGAGTGTTGCAGCTGTAGCTGTCTTTGAGCCATCCTCCTCCTCCTGTTCTCTGTCCATTATCTTGCTTCCAACATGCCTATTTCTTCTGCTTGTTTGACCTTCCCTGCTGACTCAAACAGGGCGTGTTTGGCTCCTTCTACCCAGTGTCTTCAGCGTCTATCCCCATGGCCCTGAGGCCTACGTGTTCGTGGCTTGGGTCGGATCCTTGTTCAGGGTCAGGGTCGAGTCTGACCTGGCTGAACTACCCGAGCAAGCCTGTTTGCAGCATAAATTCGGCGACGTAGCGGATCGCCTGCGGGTCTGATATGAGCGAATCATAGTCAGTAGTGATGATAATTCCCAGATCCGTACGTGCGGCGATCTTATCAAACATCTGATTATACACGTTGAAGTTTCTGATTTCAATCATCATAGTTGATAACTGGAGAACATAATCGATCTCGTTATCGATCACAGAAAGACAGCCTATAACAACGCCTACGAGAGGGAACCAAGGCCATACTGCACTCTTGGACGCAGAACCGGTGTATTTCGCCGAGACAACGGTAGACGTACGAGATACATCCACAGAAGCAGTGTGATTTCCAGCAGCATTCCCAAGAGTAGGGTGATTGAGCCCGAGGCTAGGAGACGTGACCCTTGAAGCACGAGATCCATTGCTCCAAGGCAATAGCGGCTATCGGGCAATAACAAAGGTTAGTGAAGTATGCGCACCGCTGCCTTTGCCGCATACTATATAACTGAGTTAGAATTCAAGTCTCTGATTACTAAATATTCTACTTTGACAGAGCTTCCAGTCATACAAATAATCATCTGAATAGTATAACTTTTAAACAGCGACTCAAACAGCTACTAAAACACCCACTTGAATAGCTTTTATGATAGCTTGTTTTATAGATTCTAAAAGAGTACTCTTAATAACCCTATATATATTGTTAGATTAACGCATGAAACTCCCCAAGTAGGTTTGAACAATATCCTATGATCCTGTGATAAACTCTTTGATCACTATGTTTTTTTTTTCTTAGTACTATAACAGACGGCAAGCGGGGCGCCAGAAACGGCTCCCATTGAACCGCCGTTCTGCCCGCCATCACCGCCTGTCACATGCGGAAATGCCACTACCTCTTACGATCTAGTAGAGTCCATTTTGGGTATCGTGCCCGCTTCTCACCACTTTTACGCCCTTCGCCTGCCGCTTCATAACTCCCACGCCATCTATATAAGCCCGGCACCTCTCCATTGAAAGACAACACACTTTCTCTTCCTCTTCCCCCTTCCTGGCCGTCTGTCTCAGCCAGAGCACTGCCCCCCTCCCAGAAATACCATGCTACCCTAACGTTTTCCTCTTACAGTATGGCGCCCTGCATTTCCCCTCTTTTTAGGCCCCCTACCTACCCTTCTTCGGCGACTCCAAGTCGTCCACGGATTCTCGAGGGTTGGCCAGCAGTCATTTTATTAGTTTTTAAGCTATTTCCGTTTGCTGAGGCGGGCGGCATCTTCTCATTTGTCGCTGCCTGTCGCATCCTGAATCTGTGAATCCGCAGCCGTTTGCGGCGCGGCCATGCGTGAGTTGACTGGCAAGTATAGATACCGTGAGATTCAGAATCGCCTTCCGCCTGTGTTACTGTTTTCTTTTCTTGAGGCCCCACTGCCAAGATTGGGACTCGTATGCTAATCAATAGCGGTAAGTGTGTTACAAAGACATAACGAACGCTGGTATCATTCGTCTCTCAGCATGACGTCATAAATCATTCTATAACGTATCCCGATTACTGAGGGTAATGACTCTGCTGGAATGTTCGACCACTATGTATTATATTATGGAAGACATTTTCTATATACATCAGCCATCCCAGACCCCCCTTCTAAAAAGAGTCTTTGAAAAAAAAGTAGAGACAAGGAAAGGCAAGGAAAGAAAAGGCAAGTATGCTTTCTTAACTATACCATATCAGGGAATCTACCGCAGTCTCCCAGTCACTGAGGGTACCAGAAGAGAATATAGTGTCCGGGTGGTCTGGACCCAGCAGGTTGCGGCGGAGCTCTGCACACTGTTTTATCAGAGCAAAGGAATTCTTAACCTTTCCCTGGCCTTTCCATGTAAAGGCAAGGTTGCTCATGCTGGTAAGAGTATTAGGATGCTCGGGCCCTAGCACTTGCTTGTGTAATTTCATTACTTGAATATTCAGGTCTTCTGCTTCCTTCCATCGTCCTTGATTCCAGTAGGTGGATGCCAGATTGCCCATGCTGGTAAGAGTATCAGGATGCTCGGGCCCTAGCACTTGCTTGCATGATTCCATCACTTGCATATCCAAGTCTTCTGCTTCCTTCCACCGTCCGTCACTGTAGAGACAACTACAAACATTTTGAATCAAAACAATGTATTTCTCTTGCTCCTTCTGAAATCCAGCTTCTGCTATTAGTGAAAGAGCATGCGGCAGATATTTCCGCCACACCTGCCGATTCGCATGATGATTATCTGGGAAGACTTCGCTCAGCCGGTCAGCAGTCTTAAATATTTGCCGTCTGAGCTGTTGGTTCTTTCTCAGCCAGTTCCGAGTCGCAAGATGGACTAGTCGATGTAGATTAAGAGAACTGCCCCCGCTCCCCTCACTGATAAAGGAGAAGGCCTTGAGAAGACCAAGAGCATCGGTTTTATTCTTAATTGAGATCGGCTGGGGAAGTAAGGACTGTGGAATATCACGAGGATTGATGCAGGCAAAGAAGGACAAATAGTCCGCTGCCAGCTTATTTAATTGTTGGATTTGCTGGAAGGAGATAAACCAAGTCAGAGCAACAGGGTTCTGGATGTCTTTGTAGCGCATTTCATCCTCAAATTCTTCGCTCAGCAGTTCAACCACATGCGGCTCCTGATCCTGTAAAAGCTGGAGATAATCAGAGAGGCCAATGCTGTTTTCATTAATATACGCAGCCGCCTGGGTGATCGCCAGAGGGAGAAAAGCCAGCTGCTCAAGGAGACTCAGAGCTGTAATACGATCATTAAGCAATGTCTTCTCAATCAGTGAGTTCTCTAAAATTTCAACAGAAGTTTCCGTGTTCGGCTCAGTGACTGTGATCACATGGGAAGATGCTAGTTTCACAGCTACCTTACGGCTGCGCGTGGTGAAAAGAATATGGCCCTGCTCATTTTCAGGAAGAAAGTCTGTTAATACTGTTTCAATAGCATCGTTTGTGCTCCACATTCCCATGTCATCTGCATTATCAAAGCAAAGCAGCCACTTCCCGGCACTCTCTTGGCTAAGATGAGCTTTGACCTTTTCTTTCACCTCTGCCGCCTTCATATTAGTCATTTCCAGCTTCGTGGCAATGTTCATATAGGATTGTTCCACGCTTTCATAGCTGGTACATGTAATCCAGCAAATCGAGCAAGTAGGGTCTCGATTTCGCATGCGGTAAGCCAGTTCAAGTGCGATCTGCGTCTTTCCAACACCGCCTAGTCCGCAGATAGCAACCTTGCTAGGTCCGTTTCGTTGCATAAACAATCATTCGATTCTGGTGATTTCGTCTTCCCGACCTGCGAACCGTGGGTTCCTCCGTAAAGTGACCATCCACACTGATTGCTCTAGATCACGTGATTTTTGCGATAACAAGTGGGAATTACCGACAGAAGAGCCTTCGCGTACGCAGCAGCCGCAAGCGCAGCATATCCTTGCCACTTTTTGTTTTTATGCGAATCACAGTAGTCACAAATGCCGCGAATGACTAGTGATGGAAGTTCGTCCATGAGTCCAGCAGCCTCCATTTCCAAACAGAGTATGTCTAGATCCTGAGCAATGGAATCACGAGTTTTGGCATCTTTCATGACTTGATCTCCGGAAGCGATCAAGCCATAATAAATATAAGGGTTATCGGTCCCCCGCTCAGGGCGTTCCACTAACTGTGTTTGATCACATGCCGAACAATCATTTTTGTTATGTCCATGGTCGTAGGTTGGTAAGAATAGCCAGTCGACCTTCGGTCGCAAAAACTCTTTCCTTGTCTTTTCACTTTTGTGCAGTGTAGCATTCAAAATTTCGCTGGTCGGCCTTTCCCCGGTCATACAACCACTCTCTAATTGAGACACGGCCTTCAATAACACTGGAGGAGGTTTATTAAGCGACCCGGTGTTGCTGGAATCGTCCGCCACGCAGTGTTTTGCCGTAGTCAAATTGGATAACGCCACTTGAAGTGGTAGTTGGCCGGCTGACCACAACATCGCCAAGGCGAATATCGTGCCTTGGGCTCGGGACCCCGCCCCCAATACCCACCATCAATCCGAAACCGGACCGGAGAGTCGGAAAGGTAGAGACCATATGTGACACTACACCTGCAGCGGATATCGTCCCATAGACACCACCAGGCAGACAGGCCACTACTATATTGTGGCTGCCAACTCTCCCAAGTGTGTAGACATTGTGGTCGGATTCTGGCTGGGAAAGCGGAGGGTGAACGTCGTCCAGCATAGCCTTTGCTGCTGCTAGTTCCAACGGCAGGGCGCAAATCCATGCGACCGTGTAGTCGCCGTGCCTGAAGGACATTTTCTGTATAATACATGAAAATGTAGTGAGACTTCACCGAGATAAGACGGATGGTCTTTGTTTGGAAGAAGATGGAGGAGGCATTAGAACTGCAGGATTAAACATTCCAAGAAACAGATCTGAAGTCGGAGTTGGAGAGGTCATCTGACAAGTGTAACTAAGAGGCTGCCGCGGTTAGAGGGCCAATCATGGCCTCGAGAACGTATAAAAAGCACAAAGAGGAAGTGGTGTATATTGATATTAAGCAACAAGGCCAGTGTCTCCGCATGATATTCGTAAAGTTCTATAGTCAAACCTAGGATATGTGAGAGCCAATCAAATAATCATATTCAGCGCGTCTACAGTAAACTAGAATATCGAACATGAGAGGGGAAAGGAAAGGAGTGTGGGGGAACATGTGCGAACAACAAAGGTAAGCGAGCGAGGCGAAGCAAACAGAACAAACAAACAAGATCACGTGTAATCAGCAAAGTACGTGAAAACTACATCACGTGCTACGTCACGTCGCTCGCCATCACATCACCCCCCTCTTTAAGGCTGGCTGCCCTCAGCCAGGGGCACGTCATCGTCTTCATGATCCAGCGCGAATTCGTCGGCCTCAGCGGCGGCCAACCACTGCGGTAGGCGCTTAGGGGGTCCGGGGCGGGTGGGGTGCTTAGCATGGTAATCCCGCAGGCGGAATGGAGCATTCTTAAAATTACCAGCTGGATACCATGTATGATCTGCTTAATCCGAAGCAAGCTATTTAACCCTGTACTGTAAACGTCTGTAGTATAGGCGACTGGTGATTATCTCTTCGACTTCTTTTTCTGTTTGGTCATTAACTTTGATAGGAACGGCAGCATCCTGAATCTGGTCGGGTAGGGTCTCTAATGAGTTTTGTAGACGTAGTTTCTCAGGATGGAAGATCAGGTGCACGCGCACGTCCTCCGGAAGGCAGACCTTGTATGCATTATCTATCTTATCAACGATCAGAACAGGCCCATACCAATTATCTGAGAGCTTCCATGAAGGCTGGCTCCAGTGCCAGCTCCTCGCATTGACGAAGACCTCGTCACCAATGTTAAAATTCTCTGGGCGGTGTCGACGGTTCGCTTATCGGGTTTGTCAACCTTGGGCCTCTTGGATATTCTCTTGAGCAAAGAGCCAGATCTGTTCCATCTGACGGGCAAACTCCTGTGCCTGATCTCGGGTGACCGTATGCGGCGGAGGGTCCATGGGAGGTGTCCAATCAAATAATGTTCTAGGCTCGTAACCTCTCTTTACCATAAATGGTGACAGTCCAGTAGATTCATGCGGGAGAGCCGCGGCGGCAAAATCAATCAGGGGTAATAGTTCTGACCAGTTATCCTGGAAATGGTTGACAAACGGGATGAGCCGCTGGGCTGTATATTAATTGATGATCTCTGTCTAGCCATCAGTTTGGGGGTGATACGCGGTAGAAAGCTTTAGTTTAATCTGCAGGATCCTGCAGAACTTGTTCCAGAAGTCGGCTACAAACTGGCCTCCGCGATCAGAGACAATTGTATCCGGTGGCCCCGTCCAGGTGTATATCCGGTTCATAAACAGGCACACCATGTCCTGCGTAGATGTCTGCTTAGTACACAGAATGGAGACTGTACGCTTGCTAAAACAATCTACTATAATAAAGACTGTGTCGTAGCCGTGGCAGTCTTTCGGGAAGGATCGAAAATCCATTGAGATATATTGCTATGGGCGCGTGGGGATTGGCAGGGGATAGAGTAAGTCTGGGGGCAGATTACAGCAGATATTCTTATGTTTGTATACTGAACAGTTGTCTACATAGCGTCGGATGTCTCTGTTCCAGGTGCTCCAGTAATACTGATGCTTCACAAGGGCTATCATCTCCGTGCGCCCGTGGTAAGTAAGTAATGGCTGGCGATGGATCTCATCTAGTAATTGTGTCCGAAGGTCTCCCTCGTCGGGGACCACCAGCCGGTTTTAATATGATAATAATCTATCTTCCAGAGAGAACTCACTGTCTGGCTGTTGTGCTTCCTCTCGGAGAGGCTCCAAAGACGGGTGGTTACGGTTGGCGTTCAGTATACGGTCAACTATGTGGAGGTTCGGCTCCACGGGGGCCACCATTGTAATGGATTCGGGAGATTAGGGCTGAGGCTCGGGAGCGACTCCTGGCTCCAGCTGGTCGGGCTTCAGCAGCGCTTGAAAATGGTGGTTTCTTGGCAGTCCTTATTGCTCTTTCCTGGGCGATAATGGATAATAAAGTGGTAACGGGAGAGCATCTCTGCCCAGCGGGCCTGTCGGGTGTTGAGCTTCTTAGTAATCATGAAATACTCCAAGGCTTGGTGGTCTGTGAGGATACCGAACCTCTCTAGTTGCTGTAATCCTTCCAGCTCTGCACGCTACTCTGCCAGAGCCCGTATAATCGCTAACATCTCCTTATCATGGATATCATAGTTGCACTCAGGCGGGGACATAGTCTTGGAGTAGTAGGCCACGGGGTGCCATGTCTCATCAACCTGTTGGGAGAGGACTCCTGCCACTACCTCATTAGCGGCATCGGTTTCCACCCGCGTAAGCCTAGATGGGTTGTAGTATATCAGCACAGGCGCAGACATCAGGGCTTTCTTCAGAGTCTGAAATGCTTCTTCACAGGTGTCATCCCATAGAAAGGGAGTGTCTTTCCGGGTTAGCTGGGTCATAGGCTTTGTAATTCGACTGTACTCCTTGATAAATCGACGGTAGAAGTTACAGAAGCCTAAGAAAGATTGGATCTTCTTAATAGTCGTCGGGCGCTGCCACTCAGCAATCACAGCAGTCTTAGCCGGATCCACATGTATGCCGGCGGTAGAGATCACGAAGCCAAGGAACTTAGTCTTTGTCACATGGGACTCGCATTTATGGATAGCAGCCTGGAGACCGGCGGCACGGAGGCGCTCCAGAACTTGGCGCACGTGAAGTTCATGTTCAGCTTCGTTTTCACTGAAGATCAATACATCGTCGCTATAAGCAGTGACGAACTTGTCTAGGAAATCCATAAGAACCTCGTTAATGAGTCGCTGAAATGCAGCCGGGCTGTTAGTGAGACTGAACGGCAGCACGCGGTATTTGTAGGTTATATAACGAGTGTGAAATGTTGTCAGATCCTCAGAGTCAGGATCCGGTGGAATCCTTGGCGGATGTTAAGCTTGGTAAAAATCTTGGTGTTCTTCAGCCGGTCCATTATCTTATTGATCAGTGGGATCGGATAGGGGTCCTTTCTTGTTAATGTATTTAGCTTTCGGTAGTCTACACAGAGACGTAATCCTCCTCCGGGCTTCCGCACCATGAGGATAGGGGAGGCGAATGGCGTTGTACTAGGAACAATAAATTCTTTCTTTAGATTTTCAATAATGTATTCTTGAGCTGCCTCAAGTTCTTCCAGGGTTATCATGTACAGGGAGGCTGCTCCCAGCGGGTCCTCTCCTTCTAACTCTATTCGGTAGTCGTGGGGGCGGGACGGCGGAAGAGTATCTGATTCTTTCTTAGAAAAGACATCGACCAAGTCATGGTAGTATTCAGGCAAGGTCTGCTTGATCTGCTCCTCCTCTGTTAACTCAGGATCTTGATCCGCAGGGTCTCGTTTGTCTGAGATCACCTTTTCGATTGCACTCAGGGACGTGATTAATATCTCGGACTTTTGATTTTGAAGGTGTCTGTGGAACGCGGCGGCCCCGATTAGTGTTATCTCAATCTTGTTTAGGGCGCTCTTGCCGCGAGGCTTCGGGGCTGGTACAGGCTGCCGGTACTGGAAGCTTTGATCATTGAGATTACGGCCCATCTTGGCTTAAGCCTCCTGCGGCGAGCTCCGGTGGGATCGCGGTGGTGCCGGCTCACACTCAAGGGTTGGCACAGGGCGCGGCGGCTCTAGTATCTTCTGAAAACGTCTGTCCCGGTGGGCAGCGTCCTGCTGATGGTTTCGGTCTACAGGGTGCTGGTCTAGGGTGTCTCGGGGGATGTGGTATAGTAAGCCTGCTCTGACCTCATCTTGTAACAGGAGCTGGCCAGGCCAAACGAGCTGGCGGTGTTGATAGTCCAGTAAGATCCCATGTTTCGCGAACCACATCCTCCCTAACATGATATCATGTCGGCCGAGGTCAAGGATGAGAAAGGGCACGTTGTTGAACCGCTGTCCGTCGATAGTAAGGTCAAAACGAATGGCGTGCGTCAGGGGCGCGGTGGCTTTTCCGTCAAATCCTGTTACAGTATATCCAGTCGTCAGGGGGATTGTTTTGCTCTGAAAGCGGCGTGCTAGTTTAACCGCGAAGTCGGTGTCTATACATGCAAATGCGTTGGCTCCAGTGTCTGCTAAAGTACGGGCGGATACCGCTAGTCCATTCTTTGATATTAAAGTATTTATTGTAAAACTCTCACTTTCTTGGCCTAGCAGAGTCCGCAAGTCCAGCGTACTCAAGTGAACTTCCATTTTGTCTAGGAAGGAGACTTCTCCTAGGCACTGTCTTTTGCCTGCTCAGTTTCTTCCACGGTCTCCAGCTGCTTGACCTGGGCCATCTTTTTCTTCGGACAGTCCTTGGCTAAATGACCCTGTTCTTGATAAATGAAGCATCGTCCCTCAGCCATCATACGGGCACGGTCCTCAGGCTCCAGGCTTGAGGCACGGCTGGTGGTTCGGGGGGTTCGGGTGCCAGTAGAGGCGGAGGCAGTGGGAGTGGTAGTACCCGAGACTGCTGGCAGGGCGCGGCGGGACGACGAACCAGTTCTTTCGGGCTGTTTCATTATCTGATTGATGAGGTCTGAAGCGCCAGCGCAGAACTCAGCAAATTGGTCAAAGTCTATCTTGTCACTCTTGAACTGGGCAGTAGTCATCTCTCTCAGCTTAGGAGGCAGTCGCTGGTGCAGGTCATCCTTCCAGTAAGTCTTGATAATGCCAGCCTCCACTGCTAGGTATCGGAATGTAGACATGAAGCTATAAAACTTCTCTCCAGGTGCCATCTTCAATTCTTGGTATTGGCGTCGGGCGTTTCGAACTTTGTTCGGGTCGGTGAAGATTGCCTTTAGATGCTCCAGCATGTCGGCAGCACCCTCGTAGGGATCAGTCGCTTCGGGGCGGAGTCGGGGAGCCAGGTGCTTTCGGGCATCTCCTTCGCAGCGGCTGTTCACGTACGCGCGTCGGATAGCTGGGGTAGTTAGGTGGTCTGCGTTAGCTTCCAACTTCTGCTGCATTGCGATCAGCCAGTCCTCGAAAGCCAGGGTCTTCCCATCGCTGAACACCGGGGGGTCAGGGATCTTCAGGGGTTTCTTGGATTCGGGAGCCTCAGCTCTCTGGTCATTGCGGACTGTGTGGCGTGCCATCAACACTGCCCACGTGTCGCGTTCCTGGAGGGCATCATCGCGCTCCTTGGCGAGCTTGTCCCGCTCGATGGCGAGCACGTCACGCTCATCGGCCACGGTATTCAGTTCTACTTCCATCTCGTTCATGAGGTTCATGAACGAGTTCATGAACGAGAACAAGATCAAAAGTCTTCTTGGGATCCTACTTGTGCATCTCGCTAAATTCTTCCTGGGTAATATCCCCATGGTCATCGTTTCCTCCATTCAGCAGAACGGTTAGGCGTCGTCTTGGGTTCTTCTCCCGCGGAGCAGAGCCAGCTTGGCTTTCTCTGGCCATCGCGGCTCGAAGGGATCGTCGGTCAGTTGCCTTCTTCGGAGATTCGGTTCGGGCCGTTCTGTCTTGGCCGTTTTAGCGTCGCCAAGCACGCGTTAGGTGGACACTGGCAGCCCCGCTAGATAGCTGGCCGCTTGCAGTGTTAGTTAAAGAAAAGAGTAATTAGCAATGATGTTCGATATTATATGAGAGCCAATCAAATAACCATATCAGCGCGTCTAAACTAGAATATCGAACATGAGAGGGGAAAGGAAATGAGTGTGGGGGAACGTGTGCGAACAATAAAGGTAAGCGAGCGAGGCGAAGCAAACAGAACAGACAAACAAGATCACTTGTAATCAGCAAAGTGAAAACTAAGTCACATGTTACGTCACGTGCCTCAGTCACGTCGCTCGCCATCACAAAGAATATAGAAGGACATAATTCCAGTAAGCCTATCTTGATTAAAGAAAATGGAAATTAAAATAATCTTATTATTCTCTTGATACATATATTTCTACTATTTTCTTAATATCAATATACACCTACATTCCAGTTATACAGAATACCTGTGTACAACACCCTGGGCAAGACTTGCACCTCTTCATAGTACTCAGAACTAATAACTATTTATATAGCAAAGCCAAGCAAGTCATCTAATAGTATACATACAGCTTCATATATATAGATATGTTAGATAAGCTACATGATCTGATCAGCTACATATTGATTCTGCCAGCAGTAAACACAAAAATCATTTTTGCCCGATGGCCGCTATTAACCGCCGTAGCCCGATAATGACTCCGGTACCCGACCAGCTGCTGAACCTCAATCGTGGCTCGTCCTGTTTGGACGATGGTGTCGGTAGCATCGCTTTTCAGCCCCACCCCTCCTCGGAGGGTACTTCTCCCTTCCAAGCCTAATCCTGGTGAGAAAATGGGCACTGGTAGTCACACAATTGGTGGGTGAACCACCTTCACTATATCAGACTCAATTGAACTCTGAGGAAAGCCACACAAACTGTCAGATGTGGCAATTTTTATCATCCAACTTCCAATTGTAAATGAGTTCCACCGTCAAGTATTGACCAGGTTCCACGACCCTCGAATTTCAGCTAGAAGAAAGCAAACAAGCATGGCGCGTCAAAAAAGGCCTCTTTGCAGCCAATGGTTGGCTGAAGACCGCTCTCCTGCCTTCCCCGCCGCTATATTCCCAGAAATAGCCAGGCTGTCCCTAGTCCTTTTCCTTCTTGCTTCCGAACTCTTCTCCAGCGAACCTCACTACACATCCTTGTGATAAAATCTCGTTGCAAAGCAATATCACCAGCTTAACTATGGTTAATCCTCAGGGTTCTATCCATAACAAGACGCACAGCTTCTTTGGACACTGGAAAACTGTCTTCAAAGGGCGACAAAGAGACAAAGATACACCTCTCGTTGCCCCGAAATCAAGCACTTCAGTCGTCACCGCAGATCCGGACATTAAAGATAGCCCTGCCATTTCTAAATATGACATTTCCCAACCCAGCGACAGCGACCATAACACGAAGGGTTTTTGGCAGATGGCGTATGACGATTTAAAGGAGAGCGACCCGAACAGTGTAGCAGCTCTCTTTTCACTGACCGGAGCCAAGCCTCAGGACGCTGGCGATGCACGAACACGAGAGATATTAGACGAGGTAGTAGAGGCGGTAAAGGCACAGTACAGGGAGAAGGGGGAAAAGGATGGCATTCGGGCCACAGCCCATAAAATATTAAACTCGGTGCTGTCTTTTCAAGACGTTGTTAGTAACATTGCGAAATTCGATCCAACAGGGTACACTTCCAGTGCTTGGGCGATAGTCTCTCTTGGATTAACGGTATGGTCATTACACCAACTGAGCCAGACAATCAGCTAACGACTTAGATGGCCAAGAATCATACAGACCGCAAGGGTGCTCTTTTTGACGCGTCGGAATACCTGGCGGACTTGCTGACTCGTTGTGCCTTCATCGAAGAACACTTTTATGGGGAAAGAGATCCGGCCATGGTGAATTTTGAAAAAGAACGATCGATTGTCCGGATGTATATGGCAATTTTGTGTTACTCCGCCGAAGTACGGAGAGTACAACAGTCCAACAAGGGAAAAGACATTATGGACAGTATAACGGCTATAACAAGTCAGCCACTTACGCAGCTCATGGCCTCGATTAAAGAAGAGGAGTCCCATCTGCATCAATGGTTGGACCTGGACCAGCATCTGCGCCGGGGAAAGGAAGCAGAGGCTATTCTGAATTACCTCGATCAATTGACCGTGGATATCCACAAACTGCGCGATGCAGTTGATATGTTAAATCTCCCTTTTGCCAAGGGCGCTTTTTTTGGCTCCTTTGAGGACCAGCATGAGGATGAATGCCTTGCTGGAACGCGAACGGAGTTGCTTCGGCAGGTGCAGGACTGGAGTAGGTCCAGTGACAGATGTATATTCTGGTTGAGCGGAATGGCCGGTACTGGCAAGTCTACTATTGCGAGGACGGTAGGCCGATTATTCAAAGAGGATGGCATACTCGGGGCAAGTTTCTTTTTCAAAAGGGGCGAGAGAGATCGGGACTCAGCAGTAAAGTTCTTCCCAACAATTATGAAGCAATTGGCAGTCCACATCCCTCAAATCGTCCCCGGAATCCAAAGAGCTCTAGAAAACGATCCTGCAATTCCCGGAAGCTCGCTTCGAGATCAGTTTACTAAGCTCATGTTACAGCCATTACTTGGTATATATCATGGTGAAGCCATGAATTCTACAGTGATTGTCATCGACGCCCTTGATGAATGCGAACCCGAGGAAGATGTCGAAATTATCATCAACCTTTTACCTAAGGTCGAGAAGGCAACAAATATGGCGATCCGATTCTTCTTAACTAGCCGGCCGGAGATACCCATCCGTTTGGGATTTGATCAGATTGATAAGAGCAAGTACCAGAATACTATCCTGCAAAACCTAGATGAAGACGTGATAAAACATGACATCGCCTTATATCTCAGAGGGGAATTCTTGAAAATACAGCAAAGGCGCCGGCATGCTCTTCCCCCCGGCTGGCCTGGAGAGGAAAGAATCGAAGCCTTAGCAATGATGGCTTGTCCGCTCTTTATCTTTGCAGCTACAGTGTGTCGTTTCGTGGCGGACAGACGTTTTGACCCGGACGAGCGGCTTCAGGAGTTTTCCACCAGTTCTACAGGATCAAAGATGGATGGCACTTACCGACCGGTTCTGAACCAACTCCTTGTCCAGGATGCTACGGACAGGAATAATCTGATTGAAAAGTATCAGAAGATCATTGGTGTAATCATTCTTCTTGCTAATCCGCTCTCATTGAACTCTCTTGCGGAGCTGTTGCTTGACACACCAGAACACAATAGCAGCATTTATCTGGAACGTCGCATTCGTCTAGAACGTCAAATCAGGGTTCATCTGGATTCATTTCATTCAGTCCTGTCTATACCCAGCGATCCAAAATTACCTATACGGACCCTGCATTTGTCCTTCCATGATTATCTGGTGGATGATCGTACGAAAGACCAAGAGGCTACGGCTCCATTCTGGGTGGATAGAAAGGCTAAGCATGAGCTCATAGCCAGCCAGTGTCTTACTGTTATGGGCCGTTACCTCAAAAAAAACATTTGCGAACTATCAAGCTATGGGACCAGCCGAACACAAATACACCCGGATCTCATAGCAAGGTCTCTTCCGCCTGTCCTTCAGTACGCCTGTCGTTACTGGGTTTACCATCTTAGTCAGAGCTCAACACCAGCCATAATCCTTGACCAAGTGCTCACATTCCTCAAAGAACATTTTCTTCATTGGCTCGAAGCCATGGGCATTCTGGGAATGATATCTGAAGCTATAATTGCAGTGAATTCATTGCTCCGACTGACCAACGTGAGTAATGAACTAGCTTATGGCAGCCGGCGGACTAACGCTAGGGGGAACTCTAGAGCGATTTCTGTAAAGAGCTGCATGTCTTTATATTAGATGCACGCAGATTTATTCTTAAATTTGCACAAATTGTTGATACGGCACCATTGCAAGTGTACAGCTCTGGCCTGATTTTCGCACCACATAAAGCGTTGATCAGAGAGACCTTTGAGGGAAAACTTCCTGCTTGGTTATACAGAGGTCCAAAGGTAGAAGAGCATTGGGATCCAGAGATGCAAACACTGGAGGGCCATTCTGGCCCGGTTTACTCGGTTGCCTTCTCAGGCGACGACCAGCTGCTGGTATCCGGCTCGTATGATATGACTATCAAGCTGTGGGATGCAGCCACAGGCGCTCTCAGGTATACACTGGAGGGTCATTCTGGGACAGTTCGCTCAGTCACCTTCTCAGGCGACGGCCAGCTGCTAGCATCCGGCTCGGATGACAACACTATCAAGCTATGGGACACAGCCACGGGCGCTCTTAAGCATACACTAGAGGCCCATTCTGGTATAGTTTACTCAGTTATCTTCTCAGGCGACGGCCAGCTGCTAGCATCCGGCTCGGATGACGACACTATCAAGCTATGGGATGCGGCCACGGGCACTCTTAAGCATACACTGGAGGGCCGTTCTGGCTCAGTCATATCAGTTGCCTTCTCAGGTGACTGCCAGCTGCTGGCATCCGGCTCGGTCGACAGGACTATCAAGCTGTGGGACGCAGCCACGGGCGCTCTCAAGCATACACTGGAGGGCCATTCTAGCTCAGTTATATCAGTTGCCTTCTCAGGCGACGGCCAGCTGCTGGCATCCGGCTCGTTTGACAGGACCATCAAGCTGTGGGACACGGCCACGGGCGCTCTCAAGCATACACTGGAGGGTCATTCTGGCACAGTTTACTCAGTTGCCTTTTCAGGCGACGGCCAGCTGCTGGCATCCGGCTTTTTTGACAAGTCTATCAAGCTGTGGGATACAGCCACAGGCGCTTTCAAGCATACACTAGAAAGTCATTCCGGTATGGTTTACTCAGTTGCCTTCTCAGGTGACGGCCAGCTGCTGGCATCCGGCTCATATGACAGGACTATCAAGCTATGGGATACGGCCACGGGCGCTCTGAAGCATATACTAGAGGGCCATTTTAGTATAATCTACTCAGTTGTCTTCTCAGGTGACAGCCAGCTACTAGCATCCGGCTCAGATGATAGGACTATTAAGCTGTGGGACACAGCCACGGGTGTTCTTAAACATACGCTAAAAGGCCATTCTAGTACAGTTTACTCAGTTGTCTTCTCAGGCGACGGCCAGTTGCTAGCATCCGGCTCGGATGACGACACTATCAAGCTATGGGATACAGCCACGGGCGCTCTTAAGCATACACTGGAGGGCCATTCTAGCACAGTTTACTCAGTTATCTTCTCAGGCGACGGCCAGCTGCTAGCATCCGGCTCGGATGACGACACTATCAAGCTATGGGATGCGGCCACGGGCGCTCTTAAGCATACACTGGAGGGCCATTCTGATACAGTTTGCTCGGTCGCCTTCTCAGGCGATGGCCAGCTGCTGGCATCCGGCTCGTACGATGATACTATCAAGCTGTGGGATGCGGCCACGGGTGCTCTCAAGCATGACATAAGCACTGACGATGTTGCCACTGACGTTGGATTTTCGGAGCACCTGCCACTATTGATTACTAATATAGGGTCTTTCGATATCCGAAACTACTATGAATGCTTCTCACCTTCATCCGAGACAGTGGAGGAGTTATCTCTGGCAGCAGGCCGGTGGGTTACTGTTCAGGGTCAAAAAGAGCTATGGATACCTCCAAACTATCACCCTTGCTCGTCAACAGTTAGAAACAGTACTATTGCACTCGGTAGCACGAGCGGCAGAGTTGCGATAATTGCGTTCTCAGTCAGGTGAGTATCCTGCGGTAGACTGCATTTCTACCTCTCTTATATCAAGATCTCTTTTCAAATGGAGGGTAAGGGAGACCGGGGCTTTAGATAGCTATCTGCAGAGTTAATAGAGTATACGCGATGTTCCGGGCTCCTATCAGTAGGTGGTGACCAAACACCATACTTTTGGAAAGTGGCGCGAAGCAAGGTCCTAGTTGACATGCACCAACTTCCCTGGTACTGATGATATACGAATCGGTAAAGCAGAAACGAAGCTTATGGAACGAGCAACCGGTTGATTAGAGTGGGTTGAATTGGAGTAGTAAACAACTAGGAACATGCAGTGGAACGAGGTGGGATGGCGAAGTAGTGGCTCTCCGGAGGTAAGGAAGGCGCTCCTGCCGCCAGGGCCGGAACAAGGTAGGGCCGAAGCCCCACTAGCCTCCTCAACAGTACCTCAGTCATGTGACTGCTCCTTGGAATTTCTTCCAACTTTTAAAAGGGCATCAGGTGCACAAGTAATCATACGATGCAATGTAAACGATCAAAGAAATTCTGTCCAATACAGGTCGTATTGTAACGAATAGTACTCAAATAGTCGGCTTGCGCTAAGCTCTTGGCAGTGGGGCAGGAAAACAATTGTCATGTGTTCGAAGGTCAGAGGAATTTCGGGAGCGGCTGTATGAGCCCTCATGGCGAAAAATCATCAAAATACTCGTATCCCCTGTCCTTTTTCATCATTTCTACGCGTCGTACACTATTATCAACATAGTTAAGGCTTCTTACGCCTCAAAATCGGCGCACCACACGCCTCCGCGGCGATCTAGCCAGCTTGGCATCCAGGCTTAGCATCCACCGACCAACCAAACCTCCCACCACGCGAGCGGCGTGGCCGAACCCTTACAATAACGTTGTCCAAAGACCCGTTCAATATCGATGTCTCTAAGGCCGTTCCTAAGCTCAAAGGCCAGGCAAACTGGTTAATATAGCAAAGGAACCTACAAAACTACCTACACTCCAAGAATCCAGACGCATGGGACCTGCTCCAGGGCAAATATACTCTTCCAGAAGAACCAGTTCTTTATCCGGAAGACAAAGATAAGAATATAAAACTACTAGCTGTCCGTACTGGTGATGGTGGCACTTTACCTACTCAACAAGAGCTGCAACGCAGTATTAAGCAGGCTAGACAATACAACCGGACTTTGCTTACCACATACAACTCCGATTGTAAGAAGTGGAAACAGCTGAATTACACCATACTTGTAATTCTCAGTACTACATACAAGGCCAGTCCCGCATCACGTTTCCAAAACTGTAAATCCACACTTGAGACGTATATCCTTCTCCAGGAAGCATACAAGACCTCCAACTTTACTACGGCTGTTCGCTTGTACAATAAATAGGTAACTATTCACTACAACAATACAAGTAGTCAAGAAACCTTTCTTACACGCTATGCGGACACTCTCAATGAGCTACGCGGCACCAAGATTATCAACAATCATACTAAACTCCTGCAGTCTTCACAGTAATTCAGGACGTTCCTGCCTTGCAGCCGTTCATTACAAATCAGTACATAACACTGACAGAAAACGCGCTGCCGTCATCAGTATGCACCCAATTCACACAGTTTAAATATGCATGCAAGAACCAGTTCTCTCAACTAACCACTCATTCAGTTAATAACAAGCCTCAGGGCGCTACCAGCAACAACAACACCAATACTAATACTCGAGAAAATGATCATGGTGGTCGTAGCCGCGGACGCGGGCGGGGTCGTGGACACAATAAACCCCCCGGTCAGGGTAGAGATCAAACAAATACCTCTACTCAGTATAAAAGAGAACAACTCAATGCCGCTAATAAGAACACAATATAGTACACTTTCCATGAACATTACAGAAACCACTTTACAAGCAAGTGTTCTTTAAATCCAAACAAGAAAGCATCTATAAATACTCAAGCTAACACAGTTACTGCACTGAATCCACCTACAGCACCATCCGAAACACCCTCTGCTAATGCAGTTCATATTAATTTCAACACTCTTAACGCCTTCGCTGTATCAATTCGCTGCAATACTGCTACTGTAGCTCAAGAGGACCAACACCCGAACCACTCACATGATTAGATACTTGACTCTGGAACAGTTAAAATAATGACTTATTCTAAGCATCACTTCACATCCTTCACCCCCTGCGTACGCACGGCCAAGACTGCTACTGACAAGGCCTTCCAAACCATCAGCTACGGCACTATTTCAATCAAACTGGCAGATAAGGAGAACAAACCTTGTGGGCTTCTAGAGATTAAACACACTTAATACATGCCAGCCCTATCACATAATCGTATTTCATGTAAACAGCTGGCGCGCCAGGGTGTTCGCACACACATCGAGACTGAAGAGACTACTGTTCTTATACAGAACAGCAAGCAGATTAGCTTTGCAACCGCTAAGAATGCTCAATACTTTTTACATACAACAGATACCACAAGCCGCAAGGCGATTCAGAGCCTCTATCTCTGCGGTGCCCTGACACACTCACCATCCGCTGACCTCACTGCCAATGCTGTCAAAAAGATGGTTCCTCCGCCGATCTCAATCCATCTCGCGCACCGACGTACGGCCCACACCTCCGAGTTGAAGATCCGTGACTCTATTCAACATGTTGTTGGATTTGACATCAAGAAAAATACCCTGCCAACGCCCTGTGATCCCTGCCTCTGTGGAAAGGGTCACGCACTACCAGTTTCCCACAAAGAACCTCGTGATCAGTCTACGCGTTGGAGATCTTATCAATACAGATGTTTGCGGACCGCTTCCTACGCGCGGCCAGACTGGAGCATACTATTTTATTACCTTCACGGATCATGCTTCCCGATACTGCTGGGTATTCTTGCTCAAGGAACGCAGCAAGATACGAGACAAGTTTATTACTTTTCAGAACTACCTCAAGCGCCAGTTGAATATTAATATCAAACGCATCCACGGTGATAATGCACCTGAACATCAACCGCTTGCATCCTACTATCAAGAACAGGGCATTGTCTGGGACCCCGCGCCTCGCTACCGCTCGAATCTGAATCCAATCGCCGAAATCAAAATCGCCATCTGGTTGAACCCTGTATCTCAGTTATGGCTGATAATCAACTACCTCGCTTTCTGTGGGATCATATCATTCTCGCGGTTAACTACATACAGAACAGACTTGTACACAGCACTATTAGAAAGACACCCTACGAAGCCCTGTACAGCGTGCAAGCTGATATCTCGCGGTGGAAGGCTCTTGGCTGCCACTGCTGGCATCTGACTCCTAAAAAGACTCGTGATAAGCTGGAAGATCACATGCAGGAAGGTCGTTTTGTTGGCTACTCTGAGTCAGTCTACAAGATCTACGATATCCGAACTCGTCAGATTGTATACACTCGTGATGTTATCTTCAACAGAGAACCTGTTTCACAAATGCCATCAGCAACATCTACATATGACCTTGATTTCACACGCCACGGCGAGACTGACACAGAGGCTCCGGTCCAGGAAGACCCTCGTCGCTGGTCACCGTTTGATATACTCTCTCAACATGAGCAACCTGTCTCTATCTCTTTTCCTAGTTATCCCGCCGCAGACGAGCAGGAGGAAAACAACGAGGAACTGGACTGGTTACTGAAATATAAACGGACTGGTGTACTCCCACCTTTGCCTGCAATTAATGACACTGTCCGCAACACCACGCCAGAACCGGCAGTCACTGTCGAAGAAAATGAGTCTGACGAACAGCCAGTTATTGCAGATCCTCCTACTACCAGTACCCTCCGCACAGAACCCGCTAATCCCAGCATGGAACCCACACCACTGCCTGAACAGCCGCTACGCTGTTCTACGCGCACTCGCAGACCCTCACGCGCGCTTCTCGAGTCCCTGGAGTCACACACTATCAGTGTAAATGAAGACCCAGACCTGAATACTGACGCCTTTTACAAACTACTTATTGATAATCATCTTGCTCATGCTCTGTCCCTGGAAACTGCAGCCATACAGTCTTCTCCCGGCCCGCAGACTGGGGGGACCAGCTTCACCAAAGAACCAACATCTCAAGATACCGGCTATACCCCTACCTCGTACGCCAACACTATGGCCTGCGCCAGGCATCCAAATGGCGTGAAGCAGTGCATCGTGAGATGCAGGAACAGATCAAGCAAGGCACCTTCCGTGTGGTCCCACGTCCCCGCAATACACGCCTTCTTCCGCTTAAATGGGTGTTCAAGATAAAGCATGACGGCACTTACAAGGCCCGCCTTGTTGTCAAGGGCTTCCGACAGCGTGCCGGCAAAGATTATCAGATCGGAGGAATATATGCGGTGTTGCTAAAAGTGTCAGTTTCAAGACCTTCATTGCTCTGGCTGTTAAGCTACATTGGATCTTACATCATCTTGATGTCGTCACAGCATTCCTTAACACTGAACTACGCGAACCGATACACATTGAGCTACCGGACGGCTTCCAGGAAAGCGGCATGTGCGGCGAACTTGTCAAGTCATTATATAGCTTGAAACAGGCACCACGCGAGTGGTATAATATACTCATGACTTTCTAGTAGCCAACGGCTTTAAGTGCTTACATGCAGATCACTCCGTGTTCGCGGGGAGGGACCTCTTTATACTAGTTTATATCAATGATATGCTTCTACTCGCGCCGGACAACACTGTGGTTGACACACCTTCAAAATACTGCTTGCTAAACTTGTCAAGTTCACCGATAACGGCCCCTGCACTCGCTTTCTAGGTGTTGACATTATAAGAACAGATGAAGGCATTTACCTCTCACAAAAATCCTACATACAAGACTGTCTTAAGCATTTCAGTCTCTCTGCATGCAAGACCTCCCCCGTACCCTACAACTCCAAGAATCCCTTGTCAAAAGACGACGGAGTGGCAGATCCTGATGATATCAAGACATATCAGGAACGTAATAGGGCACTCATCTGGATCATGGTTAACACTCGTCCAGATATTGCATTTGCAACAAGCAGGCTATCCTCTTTTACTAGTAACCCAGCCAAGCCACACCTTCAAGCAATAAATCTCGTCTGGCATTATCTTGCCGGCTCACTTGACCGCTGTCCCTTCTATCGTTGTGGTGGACCCGGACTTATCGGCTTCTGTAACGCTGACTGGGCCGGCCCCCATTCCCTTAACGCGATGTCAACCTCTGGCTACGTGTTCCAACTTGCTGGGGGGCCCATCTCATGGAGTTCAAAGAAATAGACTGCTATCGCGCTATCCTCAACCGAGAGTGAGTATATCGCTCAAGCAGTAGCGACGCAAGAGCTATTCTGGCTCTAACTGCTGTTTACTGAGCTGGATATTCAACGCTTCAACGCTACACCCGTCTTAATGACCCGTCCCACTGTTATTCATGCTGACAACCAGTCCGCTATCGCCCTGGCCAAGAACCCCGAGTTCCACGCTCGTACGAAGCACGTCTCCATCAAATGGCATTTCATACGTCGAGAAGTACGTGCTAAGAACATTGAATTTGTCTATATCAATACAACTGAACAAGCGGCCGACGGCCTCACCAAGCCACTCGAACGCCTCGCCTACTCCCGCTTTATCAAGCAACTCGGTATGATGGATCTTGTTTGAAGTCTCGCCTAATATTCCTTTATCTACATATGTTTTATTTCCTTTTTAGGAAACGTGAACAACCTCACGTCTTCCCTTTGTATGTAATCCCGCTGACTACGTCCTCGTTCATGGGGGGTGTGAAAGGAGATCACGTGATCTAGGACCTAGTCACCTAGCCACCCAGTCACCTCCTCGCGTAGTTAGCTAGTTAGTCTACACACACACACACACACACACACACACACACACACACACACACACACACACACACACACACAATATCATCATATTGCTTCCACAGTTGGGAAAGATAAGATGTTAGCTGGGGATGGAAAGTCAATCGACCACCAAGCGTCGAAGGCTATAGTGGTGCCAGGTTGGTAACCAGCACCATAGAGAAGCAATCCTTTCGCCATCGATGGTGGGTGAGAGAACGGGAAATGGAGCCGAACCACGGGAGGAACAGTACGTGTGTGCCTGGCGGGGGGTCGACGATCGGTGCTTGGCGGTGCGTGGACATAAGTGCACGAGGGAGTGGCGGAAGGTGTGGCAGATTGACGGCCAAAAACAGCATCGACTGCGGCTGTTTTGGGCAGCCCATCTACCATCTTCTAGTTTAAACTAGTATATGTTCAGGTACACTATTTACACCAGGAGTAAGCAAAACGAAGCAAAAGTATACAGCAAAAGATCTGTATTGACTATCTAGAACGCGCAGCGGAGCGAGGCACGAAGGGGTGCTTGTTGTAGTGGCCCGAGCGCCAGCCACATGATCAAGCCTACTGTGGCTGCCTTAACAATCTAAACTATTGCCTAACTATTCTGCCGGCAGTAAATCCTAAAAACATTATTGCCCTATGGCCCCTACCAAGTACTAGGTTCCTTAAACCGCCAGCAGCGCCACAAATAACTTACGGCGGTTAATAGCGGCCATCGGGCAAAACGATTTAAATAACTACTATTTAGCAGGTTCATTCAATCGTACAGTACTACACTACTATTGTCACATATTTTTATTACACCCAACATCCAACCCTGAATTTACAACTCATCCTCCTCTCCAACCCCCACACGAAACATCCCATTTGACTCCATCGCAATCTTGATTTCCCCACGGTCTTTACGTCCACACCGATACTTTATACTAAGAACTCTTCCCTGGCGCGGGTATCCTCCAGCCCGGTAACCCGTACGGAAAATGCAACTACTGCGGCAGGTGACCGAAGTGAATGAAAACATTCGCTTGGGTCCATGCGATGTGCTCGTGATAGAGCCGTTCGGATTTGGCGGGCGATCGGCCTTTCGGGTCACGTGACGTGGGATTGGATGCGTTGTTTGTTTCGCCTCGCGCGCTCGCGCTCGCTTATCTGTGGTGTTCTCCCACGTTCTCCCTATCATCCTGCCTTTCTCTCCTCGTGTTAGATATTTTAGTCAAGTAGCGCCAAATGCAACAGATTCGATCGGCTATCTCACACTGCTTGGCCCACCTTGGCCCTCTTGGTGGCGGATACGAGTCGGATTATGTGTTGTCCCGGCCCGGTCCCGAATTGCGCCGCCCGCTTCGCCGCAAGTGTCTTCACCTCGTTCCCTTCGACTCCACAAAATGAGGAGCGCGCCTCTCCGCAGCATCTTTAGAGACAGGCTGAAGCCGGGGTCCACCGGTTTATAAGAGACATCGACAGCCAGGAGGAAGACGCCAGCGAGCAACATCCACACCGACACCGAACACCTGGAGGCGTCGTCGCGATCTCGATTCAAATTATTCCTTATGCATCCAGCTTTATCTCAGTCCCTGTCATACCCTTCCTCTGCTACCCACTAGCACGGCATCACGACAAATCCTCTTCCTTCCGTCTTCTACCGAAACATGGCTCCGTTACTGGGCCATGATACGCGCTCACCTTCCCGACGAAATGGCCACGACATGACACCTCCAAAGAACATTCTCTATATCGACGCGTACGACTCTTTCTCCTACAATGTTGTCGCCATGCTTGAGGAGGTGCTGGATGTCCAAGTTACAATCATGCATATTGACTCAACATGGCCGGATGGGAATGCTGCCGAGTTTCTCAAACACTTCGAAGCCGTTGTTCTTGGGCCGGGCCCTGGTGATCCACATATACCGGACGATGTGGGAATCATGGAGGATATCTGGAACCTGAGCATTGCAGACATGCTTCCAGTTCTCGGCATATGTCTCGGTTTTCAGAGCTTATGCCTTCGTCACGGTATTCCTATTCACCGGCTACCGTATCCGCTCCATGGCCAGGTTCGCCGCGTTCAAACTACCGGTGAAGATATATTCGATCGCGTACCCAATCTGGAGGTCACTCTATACCACTCCCTATATGCCCAGCTGGAGAAAGTACAGAATGACCACGAGGAGGCACGGTCAGACAAGTCTGCAGGACAAGAGCTTGATATTCTGGCATGGCTGCCCTTAGAGGAACAGGTCTCCACCGGCTTGGTTCAGCCGATACAACTTCCAATGGCTGTGCGCCATAAGAGCAGACCCTTCTGGGGTGTTCAATTTCATCCAGAATCTTGCAAGTCGGACAAAGAAGCATGCAGACAGATACTGGGGAAATGGTGGAGGATGTCTCTCCACTACAACAAAACCAATGGACGAGGCACTCCCCTGAACATGATACGCGACTGCCTCCACGAATCGGACAACATGGCTTCCTTACCGAACATCGTGCATACCATGTTGACCTGGTGCACATCTACTTCAAGATACTCTTTTTTTCGACACTTCTATACTAAACCGCTAGATTCGGCCTTGATCTGTGAGACCCTCAACAGTCCCGGTTCCCCGACAGTGATGTTTAAATCCAATGGCCGACACAGCATCATATCTGTACCTAGTCCTGGCAGCTGGAGGTTAGAATTCTTCACACAGACTGAGAGGCTTTTCATGGAAAATCTTAATTGCGAGAATGCCCTAGAAGGGCAGTCTGTGATTAACACATCCTTGTCAACCAGCCAGTTCTGGGATGTCCTTCGATACTTGATGGACATGAAAAAGGTCGAATCAGGTAGTAGGGATGTCCCGTTTTGGGCTGGGTTCCTCGGGTACTTCTCATATGAAATGGGGCTCGCTTGCCTTCCTCACGCAAATGGACATGGCCACAACTCCTCGGTAGAGGATTCAGAAGATCCAGTGGATGCGAGTTTACTATGGACTGAACGGAGTGTGATTCTCGACCATGAGTCTGGCCGTGTTACTGTACAATCTACACGGGAAGCCGACAATCAGCCGGCGGGGTGGATCGAGGAAACAGTGCGACTCCTGCAAGATTTATCATCTCATCCTGTCGTGGACATTATCGACAGTATCACAACTGACACAGTGGCCCTGGATTCCATACTCAGTCGATCCACAGCACAATTTCCGAATGAACAACAATACAAAGAACAGTTTGACGCCTGTATCGCCGAACTGCACGCCGGTGAATCATACGAACTGTGCCTTACTTGCGAAACAGTAATCACAGTGCCTTGCTCTGAACCAGACAATGGTAGCATGAACTTCCCTTGGCTGTTGTACAAGCGCCTTCAAAAGTACAACCCCGCGTCTTTCAGTGCTTATGCAAAATTAGGAAAAGTCAAAGTTCTAAGCAGCAGCCCTGAATGCTTTCTCAATTGGGACCGAAAGTCTCTTCTGGAGATGAAACCGATGAAAGGTACCGTGAGGAAAGCAGACAATATGACGATTGGAATGGCCAAAGAGATTCTCAGTTCGACCAAGGAAACCGCGGAAAACCTCATGATTGCGGACCTTATCCGGCATGATCTCTATGGTATCTGTGGTTCAGGTGGCGTATGTGTCGAGAAACTTCTTGAGGTCGAGGATTACGGGCATGTTTTTTCAATGATTACCCATGTCAAAGGCCAAGTTGATCCAACTCGGCCTGGGTTCGCTGCACGGGACCTTCCACAGTTGCAGTCGGCGGTTATGTCAGCATACGGTCTTACAGCTCTGCAGCGATGCCTTCCGCCAGGTTCTATGACTGGTGCACCGAAAGAACGTTCATGCATGCATCTCTCCTCTATCGAGTCTCGTAGGCGCGGAGTGTATTCCGGTGTCATGGGATTTCTGGATCTCGGGGGAGGTGGCAGCTTTTCGGTCCTTATCCGCACCGCATTCAGCACTTCCAATGACAACGATCTCGAACAAAAATGGCGAATTGGGGCGGGTGGAGCTGTCACGATCCTAAGCACGGCTCAAGGCGAATGGGATGAGATGTTGACAAAGTTAAACACAGTTTATACGGTTTTCAAGCCGGCTACTTCAGTAGTCCTCAGCTAAACAGGCACGGATCTGGGATTTTCCTTGCCAGATCTGTTCATTCGACAACAGGGATCACTATCGCCATAAAGCTAAGGGCGGAGACTGACTCCACGCGAGTACCACTTGCGATATCTTTTCATGGGAAGGATTTCATGAGAAGGTGGGCTGCAACCCAAGCAATCGAGGCCTTAGCCGACCCTGGCACCAAGATTTGTTGCAGGCTGTCTTCTCCTGACATATCGATTCGGCAGAGGTGTTCTTTCTTTTTAGCTCCGGTTCAAACAGGTGAAATGGTTCCACCTCAGTCCGAGGCAACTGTACAGGACTTAGGCATTTTCTGTCCACGCTCGCTGCCCGTTACGCGGCCATACGCTCCGACGTTACGCCCGTTGTGCTCACTCTCACAAACCGCTGTCGGCCGCCCACGGCGCCAACACCTACTCCTGTGCCCTTCCACTCCTCCGCCCACCGGCCAGTCACGTGGGCCTCCGCCGTAGTTGTGAGGGCTACACAAAACGCAAGCGCCCGGCTGTGCGCGCCGCCCCCCCACGCCGGTTGACGGTCCGAGGCGTCGCTGCATGGTGATGTGGAGAGGTTGATCG